TTTTTTTTTTTTTTTTTTTTTGGTGGTGGTACCAGTGATTGAGCTCTGGACCTTGCACTTGCGAGGCAGGCCTGGTGCCATTCAATTAAATCCCTGACCCTTGCTGGCTGCTTTGTTTGAAAAAAAAACAGTAAATCATCTTTGAAGAGGCAAAATAGGGCCAAATGTTGGATATTTTTCAGAGAGTAAAACTGCTCATGTAAGACGGGGTGGGAAATTGAATGTTTTCATAGAGTCTGAGGAGAAAGAGGCCAAGCCATATGCTAACAGAAAGCTCTTATTTTCACTACTCATGTTTATTAAATTATGCTACCCGCACGAACAGCTCATGTGAGCAATGCTTGGGGAAAAGTCAAGAAGTATCTACAGTTCCATGCAAGAGGATGTAGGAAGCACTTCTGAGGTGCCAAAGTAACTCACAGATACTCCTAATTCTAAGGAGATGGGAGCATAACTCTTCACTGAGACTAAGAAAAACTGAAACCACCCATTGAGATTGGAAGAAGAGAGGTACACCGCAAGTGGAATGAGATTAAAGGCAATCTCAAAAGCTAGGTGGATCCCAGCTAACCCACTTCTGCTGAATGAACCACGTATAGAGCATACTTACTTTACAGACTTTGATGTTCATTCTCAGAATTCATCCAAATGCTCTTACTGACCCTTTCCTGATTTTTTGAATTCAGCTTCAACTGCCTGGTGTGGCTCCCTCTATCCTTTCCATTGTTCATCCAGCCCTCCATTTATTCATTTTTCTCTACCACCAACAGTCATTGGCTAGGTCTCTGTGCTGGGTGGATTCTAAGAGATACAGTGATAAACAGGAAGGATAAGCCCCTTAACCATATGGAATTCAGCATTTGGAATGACTCCAGAATGCAATTTCTGTCTCTGCAGTTTGACCTCATACATCCTATTCAAGGCAGAAACTCTTATTACCTAATCTTTTGTTTCAGATCAAGCGAAAACCGATCCCCCTCTCACCCTGGCTTAGCCTGACCAGCTTCGCAGTCAACTTCCATCCTCAGAGGAGGGGATTAGATGTGCTTCCTGATGGAGGTGGTACTGATCTTTGATGAATTGCAAGGATTGAGGAATTTTCAAAACTGAAAGGAACTAAAGCATACCTTATAGTAGAGGAAGGAGCCTGTGAGTAGACTTGGAGGAAGAAACAAATAGAGTATGCTGGATAACATTAAATGATTCACAACTAGAAGGATGGATCTATCCCACACAATGACCATTTCAGGGAAGCCCTACCACCACCAAGTACACCATGAAAAACATAAAACCACAAGTGTCCGTGTCCTGTTAGTATTCCCTTGGCAGTCAGTCTTCCCCTACCTACCTGCCTCTTCTTTTTAAAAGATATATATATTTTTTTTTTGGTTTTTTAAGACAGGGTCTCACTATGTAGTTGAGACTGACCTGGAACTCACTATGTAGCCCAAGCTGATCTTGAACTCACAGTGATCCTCCTGCCTCAGCCTCCCGAGTGCTGGGATTACAGGTGTGCGCCACCACACCTGGCACTAAAAGATATTTTAACACATATAAATTGTACAAATTAATAGGAGTCATTATGATATATCCATATATGCATATATCATGCATTAATTGTGCCCACCTCCTTTCTTTTATCCCCTCACCTTCTCTCCTTTCTCCTTCGTCCCACCAGCTCTTTGCCTAATCTTTGTAGTCCCTCCTCTACATTCAGGTTATCCTTTTTAAAATTAGTATATATTAGTAAAATTTTTGCTTTATGAAAGACACTGTCCAGAAAATTACAAAACAAATTACAGACAAGGGGAAAGTATGTACAAGTCACATAACTGATAAAAAATCTTGTGTCAATACTATGAATACA